AATGAATTATCTGTCCGTCGTATTTGCAAGAGCTTCAATATTATCGAAGCGGCGTAGAAGCTACTGAAATAAAATCGACGATGGGCAGCGCGTGCAGCTTCCAAAATAAACTAATTCACTCCAAGCGCTCTGTTTCACTAAATGGCTAAGCTTTGAGCAAATATTCTCACGAACAGTAAATGGCTTTTGACATGGAAGCATCGGAGGCAACGGCAAACAGTGAACAGTAATATTAATGACGTTGAAACTGACATTTATTAGAATCAACAATATAAGCTTCGCATATGGACTAGTGTTAGGTCTTTCAGGTTCCACTTTTGGCAAGGGGTTACAGTCAGAACAGTGCTTAGTGACAGTGTCAAAGGAGGTACTTAAAACGAGGGTGCTGCACCCTCAAGAATGCGCAATACTTCTCAGTGGTTTCATTACATGGCCACATCGGTTGATGACATGAAATACCTTCCTGATTTCATAAGGTTCAGTCAGCATGCACTGCCTAAAACCCTGTTACTCGTTAATATTGAGGCTAGTAGGCAATACACTGATTTCACATCTGTGGATTGAACTGTGAAATTGGTTAACTCGGCACAGAATTTCAAGCACCAGTTGACAACAGTGGACGGTTGAGTTCCTATTCAGCGCATATAAATGCACTGGAAAAGTAATAAGGAGTGAGTGCATTTCTTATGGGTTGTGTTTCATGTACTTGCGTGAAATGGATTCCATACGAATTATGGGGGCGAAGTGGTGGTTGAGTTCCGATTTTGACGAAATGGTAATTCTGATGTCATAGAATGCATAATTCAGGCCTTCAAAAGTGTCTTGTATATGGTCAAGAGACCTGTAAAAGTAAACGAATAACCCGACATGCATTTTGAAAATATAGAATTGTATTTACCAAAAAGGATAGCCCTTCAGTGGAACACAAGATTTAAAGTAATTTCACTTCATTTTTAAATGCTGACTCAATTCAACTTGTTGCATTGCCTCTGGCGACCTACTACTGCTGCCCTAATCATATGATAGCCTAGTACAATTCAATCTAAATCAACTTAAATTAATACGCGCAAACTGCATCTTTCACGGTTTACGCCGACTATTCACAATAGGCACTTAACAAAATTACCTAAAAAATCCATTACAGTATTTGCACGAAGGAATGATGTTAAAATTGGTGGAACGTTAAGATGAGTAGCCGGACCCTATCGTGTAAAAGAAAGATCCGCTTGACAGTGTCCTTCCGGCACATTATTCGCTTCACCATGAGCATGAATGCGACTGCATGATGAACCACCTATTCTAGTGGATGTCTATTTCAAAGGTATGGATTTGCTAAGGGTCAAATTCTTGTTTCCAAACCGCAACAAAAGCGGACCTGTAATGAATCTGCCTCATGTTTTGCACACTTTGCATTGTATTTGCACATAACTCTGTGAAGTTCTACGTGCTTTAAATGTTACCTGTTATCAGGTGAAAAAGGAGCAATAGCACTGTTATATGATTGGTTCTATTATTCCCATAGTAACCAAGCAAATACAATATGATGCATTTATTGATAAGTTGTTAGTGCGTTTGCGAGTGTATTCTGTTGAGAATAAGTAAAGCAGCGCTGCTGGTTGCTTTACAAAGCGCTACAAGGCAAATAAAACACCAGTTGGTGAAAATAGTGGAACATCAACTCAAGTACTCAAGACAATAGTAAGTGTGTATATGAGTGGTCGCCTGGAGTCGGTGTATAGGAATGTGACATTAAAATCAACGTTCTTCTACTCAATAATTTGCACAAGCAAGCACGAATGCACTTGTCGGGGTGGGTGGTGCGCCTGGAGCAACACGAGCACGCACTGGAATGAAAAGTAGGTAAGGGCAAGGGAGACAGTGTTGAGTCACTTATGATCCACCTGAATATC